TAGCAAAATCCACGAGGCACTAAATTAGACAGAAATAAGAAAGAAATGGGGTTGTACTACTTTTTCTCGTTAGTCAGTCTCTATATCAACATGAACTATTCCACAACAGTAGAGACAAAACTGGCAGTGGGAATCGCTGATTTCATGTCGACAAACTTGGAACATGTCAGTGTTAAGGTTCTTGCTGTCTACTGCTATCAGATAAAACAGGTACTTTGTCAAAACATGTGTGTTAGTCCATGACTTAACTTTCATAAGTAGAATGTGCTCATCTTTCCTAAGGATTCCTTCCCAATTAAGCAAAAGTAGGGCAAAATTGCTACGATAATTTGATGTAGGCACTGTATGGCTACATATGGCTACATTCAAAATCAAGAACAGGCTTAGCCATAATAATAAATAATCTTTACATTTGATATATAAATGTACAGTCAATTCACTTTACAGTATATTCTGTAAAGCGCTTTGAGGCGTGAAAAGCACTATACCAAATTCAAGGATTATTATTGTTATACAGTTCCTTACATGTTGGGAGGATGTCTCAAAGTGCTTCACAGGATTTACTGTAGATGAATAATGGGAACTGTTCAAAATTTACAAAATTCAAACAAAATGCCTCAAAGAAAAAAACGGCATTCATATCTTTTAAAATATCACAAGTAAAAAAAAGTCAGCAGTAATTCTTCTATCTGAATGAAATACATTATTGAGCAAATTTACCACTAACCACTGGAATGACATAATGTCAACCAAACATGTCAAAGTGAATCCAATACATATAGCAAAGGATATGGTTATTCTTTAGTAAGTGCTATACAATTTACAAGAGCAATAAAGGTTTTGTAAACAAATCTAAAGCAAGGAAGGGATACAAAGAAATAACCACAAAGTAATCAAATGTCAACTTAATTTGCTTTCATTTTTAACGCCAACCAATTTGATCAAAAATCTCATAATGCTTCAGTTAATTCAATGCTAACCAATACAATGTACTTTGGAAAGAGGAAACATCTATCTATTTTCATCTTCTTCTATCTATCTTCTTCTATCTATCTTCTTCTATCTATCTTCTTCTATACTAATAAAACGACAACGTCTGTCTGCACTTCAAGAAGGATCTCAATAACTGATTGACATAGAGACATGATTTATACCTCACCGGAAAGGTCTTGCATCCGGGAATGACATGGGCATATTTGTTTTGGGGTACCTCCTATCATGAGTGATGACCTAAAATGTATTTCAGTTTTGCGTTTTTCGCTGCAATTACACCTAGTGGCCGCCAAGTCAAAGTGGCGCTGTGGCATCGTGCGTCACAGAGCCCCAACGTATGTATGCACGCATTGCAGTTACACCTGGAGGCCGTGCCAGCTGACCATTGCGCTGTGCTTCCTGTGTCACAGAGCACGCACGTAGCCAAGCAGTGGCAGGAATAAAATAAAGAACACAGACAAAGCTAAATCACGGCAACAACAACAACATTAAATTTTTAAAGCACCATTCAAGTCAGGAGGATGTCCCAGTGATTATAAATTATACATTTACATTTATCAATATAAAGATGTCTAAGCGAAAATCAAACCTTTTAAGGATAAGTAAAAATGTTAGACAAAAGAGAGAAGGCCCATTAAATGAAGCTGAAGAACCGTGAACAGCGAAGGCTGCAGTTCAATGCTGAAAGAACTAGAACAGTGCGCCAAAATGAGTCCTCCCACAGGAGTCCTCCCAGATGAGTATCGATAAAGATGAAATGTCTGCCTGTATGTCACTCTACATTCCATATCGGATCCTTTGGCTACAAGCGTAGATGCAACGGGTACATCTAGTACCATATATAGAAAAAATCTGACATAGGCGCAGAATATTTGAAGAACTCAATAGAATTACAGATCATAACTGTAGCAAATGCATTAGAGAGCTTACTAATTCAACTGAAGTTATGAAATATTATGTGTTACACCACTGAAACAATTTTCAGTTAAAAATCGCTATTCATCTGGCCCATAATTTTCAGGCTTTTAGTTTTAAGTGCTGATTGGGAGATTGTTTAATAAGGGAAAGGGAGGAGGAATTGTGTAGGGTGTATAAGACAATCTCTGGCAGTGGGGATACTCTATAAAACCATGGATGTAACCTCAATGTTCTGTGATTCTGTGCATGTAATTGTATCACTCAGATCTCTGCCAATAGCAGAATGCCCATTAAAAATCAAGATCTTAGTAAAAAAAATTATTTCTGCATGTGCATGGAGCATTTGTTGTCCTGGCTGGTAAGTAGATAAACCACCGAAGCAGATCACGAGCGAAAAGCACAGGAATAATGTTGCCTAACGTTCAGCTCCACTATTGTTATCCAGTCACAATCTACAGGCTCCTTTCAAGGCAGACATTATTTTTTCATTGGCAGTTAATTTCTACCCTATGCACCTTATATGTATGTCAGGCCTATTCACACCTTTTTCTATTTGTAAATTCCTCCTTCTGGTGGCATAAGAACATATGTGGAGCAATGGGATGTTCATTTTCTACTAATGATTGGTAGAAAACGAACATTTACAAAAGAATGCACAGAGGCCTGGAACCAGACAACTCACTAACCCCTTTTGCTGAGGAATGGTGCACAGAATACAACACATATTAAATGCAGAGGAAAAAGGAAAAAAAAGGAAAACAGACTGAAATGTGAAGAATAAAGTCAATATGTGTTTATCAGAGAAACACGATAAAGACAAGCGAGTATGAATATATTAATCCAAATTTAGACTGGGTTTCCAAGTTTATATCCACAGGTCTGTGTTGCCCCCTATTGTTACTATAATGTTACTGCACTTTTTCTGGAACAGAAAAACAGTCCTAAGGTTAAAATTTATATTTATTTTTACTTTGCTTTTCATTTATTTATTGCTCCTTTCTCCTTTGTTTTTGCCATTCACTAAACATGGATTTCCTTCCTCGCCCCCACCCCAAACTCTCTCCCTTCTCAATGTATTCTACTAAAATATGTTGTATAAACATAGTATGTCCCACAATAGCACTGACTAAGAAGAGAACAGCAGCAGCAAACAAAGGTGGCTGAACCTCTATTACAGGATATTACAGCTAATTTGTCATGGTATGATAATAATCAAAATACCAGAATTACATATTTGGCCAATGTAGTACTATAGTGGAATGGAATACAAATTTATTGTGACTTGCTTAGAAACAGAATCAACACACTTATCAATGATAAATCATCGTGACTACAATTTGTACATTGCAGTGTACAATGCAGTGAATATGTGCATTATACATTATTTCACTTAAAAATTGAAACAAACTTCACTTGATGACACCAGGTAAGGCATGCCATTGGTTTTGTTCAGTTACTAACACTGCAGATATGTTTTGTGCTATTCAACATTTTTGTCCCCCAAACATAGGTGATTTTCTTCCTCAGAGGTGTAGGTTATTTTTGGTCTAATTCATTATGGACTTTCTTATTATTATAGACTGGACTTGATTAGTTTATACCACAATGGTATGAAGCTTCACAAATTCTGGGAAATAAATGTACTCAGTGGATGCAAAGAAAAAAACAAATAAAAATTTGGTCACTCAATCCACGACTGTTTGTGGGACACTACTGTGCGCAATTGGCTGCTGCTTTTCACACACAAAATGGACAGTCGATTCCCTTTGCAATACATTCTGTGAAGCGCTTTGAGACGTCTTTAAGACCTGATAAAGACACTATATCAAATGCAAGCATTATTATTATGTCTTGTGAAATCAATAAATACGTTTGTTCGATATCTTTGTGATGTTTGAATTTCTGAAGCTTGCACAATGCTCTGGGTTCAACCAATTATTTTTGTACTCCCCACCCCACTCCCCACCCCCCCACCTTGGCGTCATGCTCTGCCACTCTCAAGCACTCTGGGACACTGCCCTGCATGAGGGGCGATATACAAATGCAAGTTGTTTAAATTTACTGGTTGGGTTAATAGGAACCAGTGGAGCACAGCAAAGACAGAAGTGATGGGTGCCAAGACTCTGCAGATGAGAATACGGACTGCAAAAAACATATAAAATCAGTACCAGAAATGAGTTACATCAGAAACTCAGCAAACCATCTACTACCATGAAATCTGCTCAGGAGAAACAGTTGTTCAGTTTGCAAAAATGCATGCACAGGTCATTTTAGTCGATTGGCGGATTGCTTTCCAGGGCTAATAATCCCTTTTAAAAAAATAATAATTTGGTCACTCAATCCACGAATATTTGTGGGACACCACTGTGCACAATTGGCTGCTGCGTTTTGCCCACAAAATATACAGTCAATATCAGTCCTCCTGACGTGAGACACATTTGTTTAAATAACAGTGTTTGATTAACCATACTTTTAAAACATTACAAAAATAGGAAACTTGTCCCAAATGTAAGAAACCTGAAAAATAATAATCTTAGATTAAGATTGTTATTTGAAAATGTAAGGTTATCAGAATTATGTCAAATTATTCAGAATTATGTGAAGTTCTTAAACTCAGTCTTATTCGGAAACTGGTTTACAAACTAAACTGAATTAAAGAATTTCACATTTCAAATTAGACTGAATAAGATTTTTTTGGAACTCTGCACAATCTTAATTTTTAAGAAAATTATTTTAAGGATAAACCCACGAGAAATGTTGGGCCTTCTCAGGTCACTAAAAGTGAAGCCACGCATTAAAAAGTAGATTCAGGTTTAAGAAGTCAGATAAATGTTATTCACAAGAGGGTCATTCAGTCTACATCTACCATTAAAAAGGAATTGAAGCCACAGCTTTTGGACTATTAATTTGATCCATTTGAATCCAGGATATTTCTTCATGAGTTTTTTTGAAAATGTGAGTTATCACAATAGGACAAGATCAATAGTCAACACATTTTACTGAAATAGAATCTTTCCTTCAAACCCGTTTATGTGCTTTGAATAAATATGATGAAACTGGAAATATTTAAACAAATTCTCCTAGTGTACCTGTCATTAGGTCAAACAGCTGGTTCGCTTCCAGATCTGTGAAGGTGTTGGAACAAGTTGGACATCTGAAGGAGGCTCTATTTGTGGAATCTCGTTCATCTGTTTCAATTCTTCGTCTCATATGATCCAGTTTGTACTTCACCACATTCACTAACAGGCGATAGTTTATGAAGTAATAATTGTGCCTTGTTGTTTTACCGTCTGGAGCAGTTTCAACACGCATTCTGCTTTTGATGAATTTGTCATTTTTCAGTGTATTCAAAACTGATCGCAGCTGTTTCCGATCGAATTTCAACAGCTCCAACATGTCCTCCTCTTTGACACATGGATTTCTAATGAGAATATCCAAGGCCAATGCATGCTCCAATCCATAAAATCCTCTCACAACATATTTGGCAAGACGTTTCAAAGATGCAGGAACTTCTGTTAGGACATCTGGATCAGTCATCTTCAATCTATAGGTTGACAGATAAATAATAAGGCATTCAAGATTAAGGATCGACTTCATGATTCATCATGAGCATGAACATACTTATTTGATGGCTTTTTTATACATAAACACCTGACCAACTACAGTAAATAAATATCCAGCTGGGAGGTAAAAAGAATATGGATAAAGGTTTTGGCAGCATTTACAGTGAGTTAGGGACAGAGTTGGGTGATGTGAAAGTGTGAAGAAAAGCAAACTTGATCAGAGACCGGATGAGAGGGAGAAAGAAGGGCTGAGGAACAGAACAAACAGGATGCCAAGGTTGGACACTCGTTCAGTAAGTTTGAGAGAGGGGAGGTTGAGGAGGTCAAAGCCAGAAGTGAGAAGACTTTGGCAGTAGCTGAGCAGGATGGCTTCCACCTTGTCTGTGTTTAGATGCAAGAAATTTTGGCTCATCTGGCTCTGGTCTGAATTATCATAGTAAATTTGAGGTATTATTAAGACTACAGCAGGAACAATGTATAAAAGAGATGGAAGAGGGACGTTAAGAGAAAGTAACTAAGGGTAGTGAAGATTGAATGGGGTGTAAACAATAACAATAAAGACATCGGGAGAATGCACGATGGAATGTATTAAACAAAATTGGGCAGCAAAGGTGAAGTAAGACTACTGAAAACAAAGAGTTTGTAACCAAGCCATTGATGGCCAAGGAGGCAATGCAGCTTAGCAAAGGTAGGGAATCTGGGACCTTGTGCAGGACAGGAAGAAATGGAGTTTTGTGAAAGCTGACATTTGTGAAGCGAGGAGCCAAAAAAGTCATGAAGACTTAGATACTGGTTTCAGCTGTGATGGTTTTGATGAAGCAAGAGCATTATCAATGTTCTGAAGGTGACAGAAGACAGTGGACAACGACCTTACACAATGTGCCATTTTCATGTATGAGCTTAAACAGCAAATTTTGACTAATTACACAAAGGTTGGAAGGTGGGAAGAGATCGCAGCAGAACACAATCTGTTCTTGTACACTTTCCAGTAAGATCACTGGTCAACAATGAGAGTTTTCACCCCTTTCTAGATCAGAAAAACAAAGGCGAACTAAACACACTCCAACATGAATTGTTGGAGGCCAGTTGTAGATTTTGTGGGTCAGGTTCAAGGTTTATGATGTTATATGCATTAGTTCACAAGTACAAATAATAATCCTTACATTTAACATTACAACTTTCATGTCAGGAGGACATCCCAAAACGCTTCACAAGCTTTACTGTAAACTGGTATGACTGTATGTATGTTTGTGGGCAAACGCAGCAGACAGTTGCGCACAGCAACGTCCAACAAACAGCCATGAAGCAAGACCGCAATTTTATTTGAGGGCTCGCTGGCCGGGACACCGGGAGAAATCCCTTCTCTTTTTGCCAATGGGATCTTTTAAACATCCACCTCAACGGCCAGACAAGGTCTTGGTTGCTTGTCTCATCCGAAGGACGACACCTCCAATAAAGCAGTACATCCGCAACATTGCATTGGAGTGTCAAGTCCCGATAGGGAACTCGAACCCACAGCCTTCTGACTCGGAGACTAGAGTGCTATCAACTGAGCCAGGCTGACACCACCGCAAACCTGAGCAAGAACTCCATCCGTTGCCTTCTGTGGCTTGAGTAGCGGGGGGCGCACCCATCTTTATTAAAGAAAGGGAAAAGGGGGCAAAAAGCTTTACAACTGTCTGAAGACCTGAACCAGATTTTCTCTCATCACAAGCTCACCACCGTCCACGTGTTGTAACACCCACTGAAACAGCGTTCAGTTAAAAATCGGTGTTCATCTGGTCCACAATTTTCAGTGCTGATCGGGAGATTATTTAATAAGGGAACGGGGGGAGGGGGTGGTGGGGGGGGGGGGGGGGAGGAATTGTGTAGGGTGTATAGGACACTCTCTGGCAATTCAAATAAGACCAGAACTTCTGCTCCACTCCTTTTTACTGACGATCTTCAAAGCAGCACTCAACCTTCTGGGTGGAGTGTTACACCTGAAAAACGAGTTTCTCGTCCGTTGCTCTAACCATTGTCCCAACTCCCTCCAACAGCAGAAGTCCCCCCTCACCGCCGCCACCTCTCCACCGTCGAGGATTATCGACCAGAAAGTACTCTTTACGAAATGAGAGCAAAAATAACCCTTCCTCTCTCTCTCTCTCTCTCTCTCACACACACCCTCTCCTCCCTCTCGTGCTCTTCTCTCCCCTTTTCTCTCCCCCTCTCTCTTCCCTCACACACTCTCTCTCTCTCTCCCCCGCTCTCTCCCTCCTCTCCTTCTCAGTCCTCTTCGTCCGTCCCTCACCGCCCCCCCCCCACACCTTCCAAATAAAATCAAGAAGGGACGCGATGACACGTACAAACTTTTGAGAACAATATATTATATATATATATATAGAGAGAGAGAGAGAGAGAGAGAGAGAGATACACACGTATAGAATTTCGTTTAAAAACCTGCGAAGTCAGTAGACGGAATTCCGAAGCAGCCAAACTGAAAGGCTCGGCATGAGGTGGGTGGAGGGGGAGGTTTGAGCAGCTCCGGGGCGGTAAAACAGGGCCCGGTAGTCGGTGTGTGTGTGTGTGAGAGAGAGAGAGGGAGAGAGGAGGAGGTCAGTCGCCTTCAAACGGCCTCTAACGGTTTCAGCGCTGAAATCGAACTCGGCCAACGTTTAAAATACTCACGACCGGTCACAGAGACGGCCTCGCGCCGCACGCTACCCACCCTGCACCGCGCCGCTCGCACCGCTCGCGTCGGCGTCAGGGAGGCGAGAGGTGGGGAGGAGGGTGGGGGGGCGGGGGGGAATTGATTGACAGCGCAGCTCAGCCACTGGCGGAGCGTAACGGCCGGGGAAGCAACCAATAGGATAAGAGGGACGGAAGGAGCGACTCCACCCACCCTCCTGCTCCCGCCCCCTCCTCCTCCTCCCTCCCTCCCGCTGGATGCTGAGGCGTCGTTTCCTGGTGACATGGCGTCATTGGACCGGGTGAAGGTGCTTGTGCTGGGGGATTCGGGTATGAACCGATAGGCTTCGACTAACCTAACCCCCACCCCCCCCACCCCGAGGAGGGTTATTTATCGTGGACCGCGACCACGTCCGAAAAAAACAGCGCGCGTCGACACCCGCGTGTGTCGGTTGGGATTCCGGTTTGAAACATCGTCACGCGCGTCCCGTTTTGCAGGACGGAAAACGTCAACGCTGTGTAAATTATCCGGTGCAACGGATGGTGCCACAAAAAAAGAAGGTGCACCTGGTGTGGTTTTTGGTAGGGTTGCCCATGTTGTGATTAACTGTTAAACCGTGCTTCCCCTCCCCGCCCCTCCCCGAGTGCTTCTTGCAGATCCCATGGCACAAGCCGAAAAGGAAGAGGGCGTTGCAATAATAATAATAATAATAATAATAATAATAATCCTTGCATTTCATACAGCGCTTTTCACCTTTTCTGGACGTCTCAAAGCGCTTCACAGAATGCACTGTAAAGTGAATTGACTGTGTATACCTTGTGGGCGGAACGCGGCGGCCAATTGCGCGCAGCGGCAGTGGCCCACAAACAGCCGTGGATTGAAGTGGCGGATTTATTGTTGCTTTTTTTTTCCGCTGCTTGAGGGATTATTATCAGTCGTGTGGAGTCAGGAAACTTGCCCATGGTTTTGCCCTCCTGGGAATCGAACCCAGGGTCTCTCGCTTGCGAGTGCTCTAACCACTGGGCTGCAGGACTCCACCCTGTGGAGTTGAGTTACTGGGGGTCCGCTGCAGGGTCGGAGGCACCGGCCTTAAGATCAGACATTAAACCTAGCGGTCCCCCGTATGCCTTTTCAGGTGGCTGTAAATTAACCCATGCCACTATTCAGAAAGAGAACAACAACAACAACAAATTACATGTGTACAGCACCTTTCAGGTCAGGAGGATGTCCCAAGGCACTGGTCAGTCAGGGATTTAGACCCAAGGACAGGGTTGGGATCAAGAGGGGTGGAGCGCAGAGAGGGTAGGGGTAGGAGGGTGACCGAAGGTATGGTCGAAGGGGAGGGAGTTGCATGATCAACCATAAAACACAGTCACTACACTTTACAGCGCTTTGAGATATCCTCCTGGCATGAAAGGCGCTTTACCAAATGTAAAGATTGTTAGTTTAATCCATTGCCATCTCTGTTTACTTTGTAGGTGTTGGGAAGTCATCTCTTGTCCACTTGTTGTGTCACAACCAGGTGTTGGGAAATCCATCATGGACAGTTGGTTGCTCAGTTGACGTTCGGGTAAGGGGAAAGAAAAGGAAGAGAGAACCTGGCAAAGTGTGAAAATTCAGATTTGTTTTCAGCTAATGGTTGGTTCATAGAAAACGTTCTTTAGGAGATGGTTCACTGATTGTGCAGTAAATGTATTTGCGGATCAGAAAATGCCGATGGCTGTTATGGAAATGATCATTGCTATGATAATGATCAAGACTGATCTCACCCTATCTCTTGTTCAGCACTATCTCACTCTCAGCTGAAGGGTTTAGTATAGAAAAATTGGACCTTCCAAGGAATAAATGGGAGAAAAAATTAATTATGCACTGGCTAATGTTTGCCATGTGGTCATTGGTGAAGAACAAATGTATCTAGAGGATTGTTGGCCAGGACACTGGGTGAAACTGCTTTCTCTTTTCAAATAGTGTCATGAGATCTTCAGTGGACCTCAGAGTAACATCCCTAAGGATGGCACCTGTGTGGTGCAGGACTCTCCCAGTTCTGTATTGGCGCATACAACTCTGACATGTATTTCTTTTGTAATTATATGATTTTGAACACACCTGCTTTTGATAAAAAAAATTAGAATTGATTCCATGTTTTAGAAGCTATATTCGTGTCATTTTTTATTCTGATCTATAAAACCAATGCAGTTTTTGCCATATAAATGCTTTTTAGATAAAGACTATTTTGAAAGAAAATCATCAAACATTTTGTCTTGAGTTTTTATTTAAAAAATATTGCTGCTTTGCAATTGTAGTGCCGTTGACCATTCTGGTAGATTCCAGTAGAATTATGTTTGCATTTGTAGGAACTAGTAGTTTCTGCAGAGTTTTTATACATTTTATTTCTCTTTTATGTTTAATTCAGGTTCATGACTACAAAGAAGGCACACCAGCTGAGAAAACCTACTACATTGAACTGTGGGATGTTGGTGGATCTGTAGGCAATGCCAGCAGCATTAAAAGCACTAGAGCTGTCTTTTACAACTCTGTGAATGGTAGGAAGAGCTAATAGTACTTAATGCCTTGTTTTGTAATTATCATGTACAGTTCAGTAACATTATTGTCTGGCATTATCTCTTTGAAAAAGGTAACCTGATAGTTTCTAGTGGTACAAGACTTACAGCCCCCTCCCATCATCACACACAAGAAAACCATAATGCCACAGAGTTTATTTTTCATTTCTATTTGTGAAATTGCATAAATAACAATCGTATAGCTTTGTATATTTTCTAAACTTGGTCCTACATATTACGTTTTTGGATATTATATATTAGCAGTAAGCAGGAACCTAGTTGTTAGTCAATTGGCGGATTGCATAATAAAATTTCTATCCCCTACACTTATGAATACTGAAGGGGAGCAGTAGATAAAACATCAACACAAAGATGCTAAAGGTAAGGTCAGACTGGCAACACAGTGTAAAATTAACATGATCAATGTTGAAAAGCGTTGCATTCTTTCTAGTTACATTTCGCCCACAAATACAGTCAATTAACGTTACAGTATATTCTGTGAAGCACTTTAAGATGTCTAAGAAGTGATAAGGCGCTAGATCAAATGCTAGGATTATTATTTATTATTATTAGGTGAGACCTATGAAGGTTCTATTTCAGTGGCACTTCATCTGTGTATTTAATATGTACCATGATTTAATTTGCAAAATCTAACTATCGCTGCTTTTGTCAGCAGTTGTATGTTTTTATGACTTTGTGTTTCAATTTAAAAGGTATAATACTAGTGCATGACTGTACTAACAAAAAGTCGTCCCAGAATCTATATCGGTGGTCATTAGAAGCATTAAATAAGGACACCACTCCCACTGGAGTCATAGTGACAAATGGGTAAGTATTGCTTTTATAGGACATCTTTTCATTTTACTACCAATAATATCACAAACTTATTGGAATAAATCTCCGTAGAAAACTTTCACAACTTAGTGACATAATTACTAAAGTCTTTAATATGTACTACATTGCAGCATATCGTCCGAGCTAATAATCAGTTAATATCCGAGTTTCTAGTAATTTTGTCAAATTGTGCTGAAAATGAAGACTTTTTTTCCCAAGGTTACTGGAAGGATTAAAGTCTGTTATTTTGCAATAGCAGATAAATAATGAACGTATAATTATTTATACTTTTGACATTATTGATGCAAAAACTTCATTTTACAAAACAAAGAAACTACAAACAAACAAGCTCTTCGCTCCCATTTACCAAATTTGTTTAGATAATTAAGTATATATCTGAAGGAAGTGTAGCAATGACATTGCAACAAAAATATGATATAGCTCTTGGAGGTCTTGAATAATGAGAAATGTGACCAGTTTATAATTTTAGTAACTCGTTACTGGATAAGCTTTCTGGTGCTGCAGTCACACACTTAATTGTTGACAACGTTTGTCACATTTTAGATAAATAAATTGTATGTTTTTTATAATTTGTATAACACTTGATATATTTTATACAACTTATATAAATTAAAGACTAAACTTGGTAAATGTGACTTTAAAAGATCACGTTAACTAATGTGTCATTCCAGGAACCAATGACAGTTTGTTTTGTTTTTAAAGCGATTATGATCGAGAGCAGTTTGCAGATAATCAGATTCCATTGTTGGTCATTGGTACTAAATTGGATCAAATTCATGAAAATAAAAGGAATGAGGTGTTGACAAGGACTGCATTCTTAGCAGAAGATTTCAATGCAGAAGAAATTAATCTGGTATGTACTTTATTAAACTTCAATGAATTAACTCGGATGTTAAAGTGATTTTCCAAGATTGTGTCACAAATTATATTCTTAATTTTTTTTGTAAATTGTTTTGGGATCATTGATTATTTTTGTATGATTTTGTGTTGTAGGATTGTACCAATCCACGATGTTTGGCTGCAGGATCTTCTAATGCAGTGAAACTAAGCCGTTTTTTTGATAAAGTAAGTATTGTGTATTATTTATAACTAGCTGTTAACATAATTCAAGCCTTGTACAGACTATTCGGTTGACCAGTGATGTTGTATTTCTAGATGTGTATCTAATTTTGCATGCATCAGATGACCTAAAACAAATGTATATTTCTTAGAGATCTCAGGCTGGAGAGTTCTGATTTGTTGAAGCAACATGAAAGCTATCTCATCTTTTTAGTTATGTTTTACATTTTGCATTATAGTTGCATATTATGAAGTTAGACAGAACTTAACACCGAGTCACTTCTAATGAGTTAAAAAACTGTTCAAATAATGTTCTGCCAGTTCTGAATCTCATGATGTATTAATTGATTTCCGGCCTTCCAGTCTTAAATTTCTGTACTGTATGTAATGTATCTATGCCTTGTCATCATTACTTTTACATCAACATGTATCTATGGGTGGTAGTAAAGGGATATCAATCAGTGTATATTACATACCTTCCCTTAATCAACAACATTTATATATTATAATAATAATCCTTGCATTTGATATAGATCTTTATGTCTTTGAGACGTCTCAAAGCACTTCACAGAATATACTGTTAAGTGAATTGACTGTATATTTTGTGGGCGAAATATAGTACCATTCACTTGCAGTAGCGACCTGGGGTGCTTGTGATCTGTGAAATTGTTTAAATAATCATATGATCTGTGGAATTGTTTAAATAATAAGCTAATGGATAATGCATTTATAAAGTATAGAACTTTATAAGACAGCATCAGGACATTAGACAGACTGATTAGACAGACTGAAAGAAAGGCTGAGAAAAGACAAGCTTTGAGAGAGGGAGGGCACCATATACCAAATATTAACATTATATTTGTTTCTAAGACCTGGGTTCTATTCCCAGTAGGGCGAAATGTTGGGCAAGTTTCCTTACGCCACGTGCCTCTGTTTACCTAGCAGTAAGTAGGAACCCAGTTGTTAGTCGATTGGTGGATTGCTTTTCCGGGGATAATAATTCCTTCAAAAAAAAATAATGAATTGATTACTTCAATCCATGAGTGTTCAGAACTCTGCAGCTTGTGTATTGTCCCGCACCAGCTTCGGGACCACATCACTCCCACCCTCGCTCGCCTCCACTGGCTCCCCATCCCCCAAAGGATCAAATTCAAGATCCTCATCCTCACCTACAAGGCCATTCACGGCCTTGCTCCCTCCTACCTCTCCGAACTACTATCCCCCTACTTACCTGCCCGTACCCTCAGTTCCTCTGGCTCCGGTCTGCTCTACATCCCCCGCCCAAACCGCCCTACCATCGGTGGCCGGGCCTTCAGCCTCTCAGCCCCTAGGCTCTGGAACTCTATCCCCCAGTGCCTTCGCCGCCTCCTCCCTTTCCTCCTTCAAGGCCGGTCTCAAGACCTTACTCTTCGACCGTGCCTTCAGCTCCCCTCTCGACTCTCTACCCCCTCCTCACTCCCTCCCTTCCCTCCCCTCACGCTGACCATTTCCCCCTTGCTCGGGTCTTGACCCAACTGTCCAGCGCCTTGGGACGTCCTCCCAACGTGAAAGGCGCTCTATAAATGAAATCTTGTTGTTGTTGTTGTTTGTTGGACACTGCTGTTTTCACTCATAAAATATAGAGTCAGTTCACTTTACAGTATATTCGGTGAAGCACTTTGAGACGTCTCGAAGACGTGATAAGGCGCTATATCAAATGCTATTATTATCTATGTCTGTATCTAAAGTGATTAGCATCTTTTTGTTGTTAACAGCAGAGCTAAACATGGTTATTTACTTTGTTCATTTTTTAGGTGATAGAAAAGAGATATTTTTCACGCGATGTTAATCAGGTTTGTACATCTTTCTTTTAAATCATAGATTTTTTCCAAAAAAATATTTACCTGATTCTTCCCATCTGGTGGTATAGAAGAAAACTGAAGAAGATCCAATTGAAATACTGTATATAAATTTGGAAAACAGATAATCACGAGGATTCAATATATTTCATATACAAAATGTTGTTACAATGCAGGGTTGTTAATACAGCCTGATTTTCGGCACTTTGTGACATCAGTAAGCCACCAATAAGTGCCAGAAACCAGACGTGTACCTCATTTCGACCCTGGTCCACTTTGCAACCGTGCTATAAGGGCGCCCGTGCCGTATAGTAGTGTTGTTTCTATTTTACTCTAGAATCTTCCTTCATCACTAGGTCTTTCTGACCAGCCTTAGAAATTGGATTGAGACATTTTAAAAACATGGAAAATTTCAAACAGAAGTTTGTAGCTCATACAGTATTTTTTGATTTGCAGATTCCAGGTTTCGCTGACCGCAAGCGATATGGAACAGCAGGCACATTCAAGACCCTTCATTATGATTAAACAGAATTGCCAGTGGATCACACAATGCTGGGACAGGACACATCTGCCCGATGCTTTGCACCACCCATTGATTGTACAATTACATCTTTTCGGATGCAGAGATTTCTTTTGAAGTTTGGCACTATGTGCTTAATCTAAAAACTAACAGTTGTGTTGTATAATACAATATGTTACAGTTTCACCCACAAAACAGTCAATTCACTTTACAGTATATTTTGTGAAGCGCTTTGGGATATCTAGAAGACATGATAAGGCACTATATCAAATGTTATTGTTATTATTATATACCTGCTGTACCTCCCTGAAAGGTGGACCTTTCAAAGCCTTCTCTTGTAGATGCAAGTTGCATTTGTGTACATGACAATGTATATTAATTAAAGTGAGTGAACCATCTCCATTAAACCAGCAATTTTAAAATTAGATACAAAATTTATATTAAAAAAACTTGAGATGAACACAAAGTGTTTTTGATGCATTGTCAATTTCTCAAATGTGTTTTTCATAAAATGTTATTAATCTGTACTTAATGTGGCTGTTAGAGTCTTGTATTCTGATGATCCTGGAGGCATATTCTATCATTTCCAGGGAAGAGAGGTACTGAAAATGTAAGTTCCTCATTTATTAGTGGACCTGAAATAGGATGAATATATATTTTAAAAGTACTTGAGGATTTTTTAAATTGTGGTTTCATCAATATTTGAAGTAAACTGTATGTAAACAAATCCAATTTAAATCTCACCTTGGGAATTAGGCATGGTACAATAAGGCATTGTCTTATTTAACACAGTTCCATGGGCAGGTTGCCTCCATAATACCTGAGCCAGTTGCTCTTGTTTTCTTAGCCGTCTACAGCATGAGCTGAAGTAATTGCTATTCCGAAGGGCATATGTGTTTGAAATTGTTCCTGCCCCTTCAATTTTTCTTGTGATTGGTCTTTCCTAGCCACTGCTGTGTTTACAGTGGAAAGAGAGAAACGTTACTGCAGATGCCAACACAGTTGTCATTAGGGTTGCTCAAAAATCCAACTGACAAGACTTCAAAATGTATAGCCTGTATTTAATAAGACTTTATTATACACCTTATAAAATTCTCCCCTATTGAAGCTTTGTTGGGGAACCAGATGCTAATGTTGATTATAATTTATATACATTTACAGCTGTTAATAATTATTGAATAAAGACATTTTAGGTTTATTCTGTCTGTAAACCTGGAGTTTGCCTAAAGTAAATTATTTATGAAGAACAGAATACATAAACCAACAACTATTTTATTCAGTGTTATATTGTAACAATCGGTTTATTGTAAGAATATCATAGTTCATAAATATAAGGAGCAATACACATTCTGCAGTTTGGTATTGTATATTAAGCTATTTTATGCTGAAGATTGATGATGCTTTAATCGTGTATGTTGTAAGTTTAAGGAAGAAATATGCAATTATAGGTGGGAAGAGAGAGCATTTCTTGTAGTTCTCACTGTAATGGTCTAAAGAGTTGATTTGGCTTTTATTCAAAGTGAGGATTAATAATAGCTTGCATTTATATATCCCCTTTCATATGAAATAAATGTATTGCAGTGCTTCACAAAATATAACTGATTAGAAATGACCATGGCTATTATATAGGCAAACTAAACAGCAATGCCCATAAACAAAAATTATGAGTTATGGAATGATAGTGATGATGAACACTTCCACATCAGCCATACAAAGGTCAATTACTGGTACATTGATGGGCAGTTCCGTGCTGTGGATTTGTGCCCATTAAGAATTGGATTTGGACAAAACATTGCTAAATATTTGACGTACAGCAGACAAAGACTTTCATTGAATCGGTCAAGGCTGGGCTAAAACCTGTGCCCCAAAGATGAAAGAATGTTGATCTTCTGGTGTAATATATTATCCAGATTGTGCTACCTCTAAAATGTGAGAGCATAATTTTTACAAATCAATGTTCATGTCCAACAGATGTTTAATACAGCAACATTCATCAAAGTGCTTCTGTTAAGTCTATTTACTGAAGGAAAAAGTGATTGAAAGACCACTGGTGGAAAATACACATATAGATGTGTGTAAGGATCAGGCACCTTCTTACCTCACTCTATCTAAGAAGATAGCAGCTGCCCAATAGTCTCTTGTTATTTCTTGAGTTAAGTGTTGAGATGTGGAAGAGTAATACGTCAACAATGGACAATAAATGGGTACATTGGCTCTGCCATCACTAACTATCCTTTTGTGAGCTGCATATCCTAGATAGATAATTTCTTGTACTCCTAAGTCCTTTTGCTATAATTCAAGCATCTTTCAAATAAGGGGCTTTTAATTAGGGTCCAAACACCAGCAGTACCAGTTCAACCTAAAAGCTCAAATCAGAAAAGTTTATCCGGAATGTATCTCCTAGAAAAGCCATTCACCGAAATATTATAATGTTCTCATACATAGTGATATATATATATATACATATACACATATCAATGTGAGTTCTCTTTAAAAAAATCGCTTAAATGAAACACTATAATAATTATAATTTAAATTCATATAATAGCTTTCATGTGCTGTAAAAATATCTCAAAGCACTTCACAAAATGCAATCGATTAGAATGAAGCGAACAATCCATAGGCAAATACCACAGGACCAACAATGTCTCATAAACAATGAAATGAGCAGCCAATTGGTTTGAATTTTGCGATAAGTTTGGATTTAGATGGAAACCATATGCTGGCATTATTGGGATGAAAACGTGGTGTCTTCGAATTAGCAACAACAGGGCAGAAGGAGCATAAAATTAATAACACAAAGAGTGGGATGTCCATACAAGTAATTAAATTAACCTGATAATCCCTTGATTTCTATTTTCTTAGTCCTATTTGTGACTATCTGGAGTACCTTTTTTTAAAGCATCAAATTCGAGGCTCCACAGCCATTAGTAGAAGCATGAAATGTCTTCTTAGTTTAAACACCATGGTATTTATTTCTCATGATCCTCTTACTTCCAAAAGAATGGACAAACAAATGCAGATAGCTGGTCCCCTTTTATTCAAAACACTAAAGTCCAATTGTAACCGTACATTGATCAGATTTCTTCATTGCCCTCAATAAGACCTATCAGTTAAAAACAATAAAATACTAAATAATACTACCCCATAAAAGTACAAAACATTGCTCCGTAACATGCAAAATATAAGGTAGCTCCTCCAATTGAATGCTCACTGTCTGGGTACTTTACGTGGTTAGGTCGGCTATCTGGTGGTGACTCGTCATTTATTGCTACAAATTCAATTGTGAAACCCGTCAACAACAACGCATTACATTTGTAAAGCACCTTTCACATCAGGAGGAACGTCCGAAAGTGCTGAATCGTCAGCATTTTTGTTGATTTGAAGCCTGCATTTGGAGAATCATCAGTTCATGTACAGCAAGTCCCACCTCCAGAGATAGACAGATCCTTCCTCTGAGCTATGCTACCACTTCGACTTTACTCACACTGTACTTTCAGATTTCAGCCTTCCGCATTATTTTGAAACTTTCCTAAAGTTGTGAGACCCTTTTTTTTTGCAAAACAAGCAAGAGAAAAGAAAATGGCATCTCTCAAGGTAATATTTATGAATTTATCACTTAAGGTTTTAAGTACTTGTATGAACCCATCTTATTTTTTTAAATGAGAATGAAATGTCATCAACCGAATCGTTTAAAACTTTGCTTTCACCTAACACTTGTCTATAATATTATGATTTCAAACTCTACAAGAGAAGCAAGATATATTTCCTCCGTTCTCTTTTCCTTTTCTTTATTTGTATATTTTCTTAGCAAATGTTGTTCCAATTACTTTTTATTATCGTTGATATATCGCACACAAAATGTACAGCCAATTCACTTCACAGTATATTCTGTGAGGCGAATCGAGACACCTCGAAGATGGGATAAGGCGCTATATTAAATGCAAGGTTTATTATTATTATTATTGTATCACAATTTAGTCTCGTTACACTTTTGTTAATTTCACATTTTCTGAAATGTATTTACCAGCAGATTTTATTGTGGTGGTGCTGGTGGTGGTGGTGTTGGGGGGGTGGTCAGTGTTTCAATCAACAGAGAATATTTATATTAGAACCTGTTGAGTTTGCCTTGCACTTCACCACGTTCAGACTTATTGAGCGCAAACATTTGTTCAAAAAACTCTTGGGCATTGAATGCACAAGAGCCAATAAACAGGAGCCCAGGGTATCTGCCCAGATACAGGAGTTCATGTGCAAATTAGGACACACTGTAGTTGAGTTTAGCATATAGTGGAGTTTGGGACATCATTCCAATTCCTGGTCATTATTATAAGGTGTATTTTAAACTATCACAGGGTACACTGTAAACGGTTACCTGGTGTAATGTAAATTGTTACAGGGTGCATGGTAAATTATGGCCAATTCCAAAATATATTGTTCCTTCTTTAATCTTGATATTTGTAATCCCTCAAATCCTATTATGAACAATCAAGTTTATTTTCCTGAGAACATTTTAATGTTTTAATGTAAAATTTCACACTTCACAAATTCAGAATGATTTCAGATTTAATTAACTTTTTTTGTTAATATATAATAGTTAATATATTAAGTTTTTTGGGGGTCAGCCGGGTGTCTGACACATGCAGAAACCCATACTTTGCCCACAAAGTATACAGTCAATTCACTTTGCAAGTATATTCTGTGAAGCGCTTTGAGACATCTCGAAGATGTGATTAGATGCTATATCAAATGCAAGGATTATTATTATTAAATCTAATTTTATCAAATCAGTACCATCAGGGATGTTTTCTTATTCGAATTACCCGTATTCATTTAATTTCTTTCAAAAACACATTGGCTAAAATCACGCTTCCCAAAAGACTCCAAAGTGATTTCAACCATAACTGTTCCTGTCCTGTTGGACATGACTGTTCAAATAATTGAATTTACATGACTTTTGTAACCAGCACGTTAATAATTGGCAACAGTGACTCCTCATATACTGTCTGCCTGAGGACTTTGTTGTTTAAATACACATTTCACCCTGCACCCACAGAAGCTGGAGAAGTCTTCATTATTTGTTACAAATTTGCCGATGATTTTTGTTTTTTGTTATCAAAGTAAATGTTTGGATAGAATAGAATACAATGTTATTAGTCCTCAGTTTGTGTCCCAAACATGGAATTAACTTTTTTCGATGACAATAAGCAAGTAACCATTCATAGGAAAATTACTGAATATATGGAAACTGGATAATATAAGAGGCACTGACAGTATTAGTGGTGGAGCATTAGATTTTTGCTCTGCCAAAACTGAAATTTTAAAGCAATGCTGCACTATATAAATGCAAGTTGTTGTTGCCATTAATCACAAGATCTCAACAGATGAAGAAAGCCCTTCGGTCCATTTTATGTTATCCCTGCAGAATATTAGGGTGAGTATTCTGAAGGGATAAGATAAAATGGACCAAAGGATTTTCTCACCCTATGAGATAAAATATGGTGAATATTCTGGAGGGAGACGTAAATGCTTTCCATTCACAACATTAGTTTCTTTTTTTATAAGTCCATTATCCTGGCTTCAACCACTCTTCCTTTTGTTTTCAACAGTTGTTAATTACCTACCATGTGAAGGAACAGTTCCTGATAGCTCTCTTCAAGTTGACCTTCATTACCCAACATATCCTCTCTTGTCTTGTTGCTTTGGTGTCCTAAATGTATTTTTCTTAATACCATTTAGCATAGAAATGTTATAGCACAAAAGCAGGCCATTCGGCCAACTAGGCTGCTCCAGTTCATGTTATAAACTTCTTTATGAAGCTTCCTCTGAGACAAACTAATGTTGAAAATGGATGTTATATTCAGTTGGTTTGGATAGGAGTTGGTTTCAATTGATTAATTTGCTTCAAGTGCTTTGAGAGTCCATCTGACTTGAAAGCTCTATATAACTCTAAATTGTAGTGTGAATTGTATTTTAATTAATTTGATTCAGCTCCTAGTTCCAAACCTCATTGCAGGACACAACAGTTGTTTCACTTCATGCTTGTCAATTAACGGTTATGGATTGACCTCTACTTCCTCAGTTGTCAATGGATGTGGTTTATGGTTCTCCAGTTATAGGGTAAAAACAATTTTGCATATGAAGATTGGATTAAATTTACAGTAATTAGTTACATTATTGATAATAATCTGCTGTTTAACCTTACAAACTGTTATGGATTTTTAAAACAAATCTGGGGAATGAAGAAAGATGACATATGAATTATCACTTAAGAATGAATTATCACTGGTAATTGCCACGTCACATTTTGCACTCCAATTTGAGGGATATGGTCTATTTTGTCTGCTATTTTGTCCTGTCCGCTCCCTCCGCTCAGAAGTCTCCAGCCTGCTCCATGTCCCCTGCTCTTCCCCCCCTAGCATTGGCAGTCTGTCCTTCTGCCTCTCTACCCCCACCCTTTGAAACTCCATCCCATATTCCCTTTGCCTCATTCCTCCCTTTATCTCCTTCAAGGCACATTGCAAGAACACTCCTGCTAGGGTCCAATTCACTGACTATCCAGCGCCTTGGGACATCCTCCCGACGTGAAAGGTGCTATACAAATGTAATTTTGTATTGTATTGCTACCATTCACTCTTCCTGTTCTCATCAAAATACACCTTGCTCTCAAGCCTTAGCTCCACCCTGTGTTCTACTAATAGCACTGAAGGTTGGAATACCACAGATTGTCATCTTTGCTCAGTCCCCTCTTCGTTATTCCTTGTTAGTCATGAAAATATGAAAATGCTGCCATCAGGCAGTTGCTTCACTTTGTCATGTTACAGTATTGAGCCTGCAGATAGCATCCAATTACTTGCTTTATTGGGAACCTAATGACTTGCTATGTTGGGTGTATTTTAACAACATTGCTGATTCTTGAGTGTTTGCTCTTTTCCAGTACATGTCAGGATTTGGTAACGAATTTGCTTCTGAAGATCCACGCTGTCCAGGCTCTTTACCAAAGGGTCAGGTACTGCAAGAAAATAACCAGATATTATTGACTGTAATAAGCTTCATCTATTGGCAATCTTCAGTTAGCTTTACACGTAACCTTCTGACAATTAAAAGTTTGAGTCTTATCCAGATTCATTTTATGTTTTACACTGGAGCCCAGGCAAATTTGCTTCTGTGTCTTCTGGTTTCTTTTTATTTACTGATTGTTAAGAAATAAGAACAAATATTTGCAAACTAAATGACTAATCCTGAATATATCAGACACTACACTTCATGTATACCCCCTCTAACATAGATGAACACTAACTGATGCGTTCAGACCTCCCAATGTTTCATAGTACTGCTCACTGGTTTGCTTTACCAGCTTGTATTAGTGATTTGATATTTGACGGATTTGTGCATATGAATTGTTAAAGACACCACATGTGAGCTTTCCTGTCAGTTAAACAACTGTAATTTAAGGATTGTGTATATTCTCCTCATTTCAGAACAATCCGCAGGTTTGTCCATATGGACTGTATGCAGAGCAGCTCTCAGGGTCTGCTTTCACCTGTCCAAGATCAAGCAATAAGAGGAGGTAACACTGACACCATAGAAGCAACTTGAAAAGATCATCAAGAAACCCTTTATAGCTACTGAGACATACCTCCAGAATTAATTCTGCTGTACAGTATATATCTACAAACATATCAATGCACTGTGATATATAAACACATAATAATTTTGGCAGCTACTTATTTTCCAATGTAATGATAATCACAATAAGCATGATGTAGCAGTCTTTTAATAAGGAAACCTCAGTGTCTTCGTATTCAAATTTAAAAAAGAATAAAACACTGTAATTGTAACGTTGCCACAATGTTTCAGGTGATCCTTAGAGGAAACACTAGATCTGTGCCAGTAAGCATTAAAAAGTCGGCCACTTGATTATTGACTTGGGGATTCTGAACCAGGGAACCATAACTTTAAAGTCTGCTGACCCTCTCGCTCACTCAACTAGTGCTGAAAACAGTGTTTTAAAACTTTTTCCTAACTTGTTACAGTCATCAGAATTTGTTTACAAAAGTTATCCAGAGAAAAGATAATCTTGTAAAGGTATAAAGTGCAACACGGCTTTTTAAAAAAAACAGATCGACAGCTGGAGATTAGAGAAGGTCTGAGGTAAAGCACAAGGGATCAATCAGAAAGAGAGAAAGAATGATGAATGGTTACAGATCAAGAGATAAAACCATTCATGTTACTTATTATAAGATGGCATGTTAATGTTTTGCATGACTGGTTAACAATTTGGAATTTTCCATCTTTGGGATGAAGGCATTCTGCATTATATTGTCTGGGAAAGACATTTTCCAGTACTTACTCACAACTCCCACAATATTGTAAGGGAAAACGTTTTTAAAAATTACTCATTTGGAAAAGTCTTAGCCTTACTCTCAGAAGAAATCACTTTACATCACTTGAAGTATTTAGAGTCAAATAAACAACTCCGGAATACTATTATTTACAATTTCCTTCCCAATCTCCATAATATATTGCATTTCCATTCCCTCTAGATATCTATAATATTCTGCAATTCAATCAAGTAGCAGTCCATATTTTCTATACCGTTAAATTTGTAATGTTCTTGATTGACAATCTACGTCTAAAATTTAATCATTAATCTTTTTCTTGTAAGAGGTCTTCAGGAGATGATAAGAGATGGTAGAGAAGGCAATTGTGTTCCTTATGACAAGGTCTATTGTATAGTAATTGCAGATTACACAAAAACTCCCATGCGAAATGAATATCATACTTGTATTTTTTACTTCAGGATTTAATTTTGCTTTTCCTTCTATTGCAGTTGGCTTTATCGCATTTTGCCTTCAGTTTGTCACAAGCCCTTGATTTCTATACCCCAAGGAAATCTCTCCCATAACTGGGATGAAGTCAGTCCAGATCCCAACCAGGTAACAGCCCACTAATGAGAAGGCGGCTTCATGGTAAATTATGATAAAAATACATTAATGCACTGACAAATGCGTACCTTGTCATTTGTACTGTGAAATGTGGTGCATAAGTAATATTACATAGAATTGTACAGACTGTATGACACCGAAACAGGCCATTTGACTCAACTAGTCTGCGCCAGTGTTTATACTGCACATGAAACTTCCCCCTCCTCCCTCTATTGCTTCTTCCCTTGTGTATATTATTTATTCCCTTAAATGTATTGATGATGCCAAAGAAAATCCTTGATAGATGCTGTTTGTCATACATGCAATAACCCTGAAAGGAAGCTCATCTAATTCCTTGATTCTGTTTCTAGATGAGATGGCTACCATTTAAATTTTCTGAAAGTTCAGAGAAGAAGGTTGACTTTGTGGAAGTAAGGCTGAGTTCATTTACTTTCTTCTGCTTCTCTCTCTGATCTTCCCAATGTCCCGTCTCCAAGTGTAGGAGGAAAGTAGAAGTAAATGTGCTGGGAAGTTTTAAGCAGTTAACAATCAATCTGGGTTTACTTGCAAAACAATGTACAGTGGAAATTCAATAATGACAGCAAATAGAGTGGGATATTTTGACCACATTAGCGAGTTGATCTGCCCATTGAGTCATTGAGAAAAGCTTGTGATCTGACACTTGAGAGGTTCATGCTCTCCCTTTGGTCTTTGTGACCAACCTTGAACTCCTGCACTGGAAGATCCTCCCAACCATCCTTTAGTGACTCTATGGCTAAATAACAACAGCGTGCATCTATACAGTGCCCTACACCCTACAGTGTCTCAGAGCGCTTTCACAGTGGTGGAGGCTGTCGCTGAGCCAGGCTCAGGTGACCATAAGTACGGATCTTCCTCTTCTATTGAAATAGGTTTCTATTGAAATGATACTATAATGTGTAAGTGATAAAAGATTGGGGAAGAAAATGCCCACTTGAGGGAGTTGAGTACATCAGAGGAGTGACCTTAAGGTGTATATGTTTTTTTCACCTGACAGGGTTACAATCTTAGTAGCATGATAATCTGTTCTTCTATTGTTTCTAGTAACATGAAATAAATACATTGAATAATGGTAAGACACTGAACTTGTATTTGATCTTAGTAAGACTTTCAGAACTTCTGAACAATGCATATCCTTCCCTAAACTAGAAACTGGTTGTACCCAAGGTCTCTTTCAGGCAGCGCAGTGAGCGAATGGTCTTTTTCTTGCAGGGTTTAAATACACTGTGTGGTGCTGGAGATGGCAGAACCCGAAATGGCGTCGCCATTCACATTTACATCTGTAACACTTCAATGAAGAATAAGTATGTGGTTTCAACTCTGGAAATGCCTGGGTTAAAATATTGTTTTATGTTTTTGTTTTCTGATTTGAGTTTGATGTTAGTGGAGGAAGGTAGTAGCAGGTGGCAAAAATGTCTCAGTGATGAACCATGCAGGCTGGTCAATCTCTTAGACTGTTGATGGTTTAGAGCAGCGGTGACCAACATTTCTGGTCATCCAACTAAATAAATGTTCTTGAATATTTCTTGGATTATGGCCGTGTGATGTGTATCGTCGCTCGGTAGCTCCTAGAAACAAGTGATTGATTTGGAATGGACTCACCTGGACTGGTGCAAATGTTTGGCTGGCCACTTCTTGATGCTATGATAGATATCCAAGCAGAACATGTATTATGGTACTTACCAGTCCTTTGTACTGCCATCAATAATAGTTTCTAGTGGCCCATCAAGTAATACAAATTCCCAGCCAGAATCCCATTGTATGCGACTATGAATCAGTAGTTCTATATATACCTTTCTATTCCTAATAATAAATATAAAGACTTTTTTGTATTTTAGGAGTTTTTATAACTCGGATGGAGATTTCCTTCTAGGTAAGTAAAAACCTTATGCAAAAATCACCTTGTACATTTGCATTTTATTACGTGTGGAATCCAGCAAACTAGCCATGAGATAATGCCATCAAACTAAGTAATGAGCCACACAAGCAATACATACCCATTTTTTTTCGAGAATTGTGTAGCTGTCACTAGGTTCCCATTAGCAATTTTGTTGACTCCTGAAAATCAACATCCTTTGGAGGAAGGTCTCTAGTATGATGGCTTATAACTCTGTCCATTCACCATGAGGGCTTGGATTTATATTCAGCTAAAATGGGAGAAAGACTGACATTTACAGTTGTTTATATAACACTGTCCTTCAATTCTAAAACCTAGAAGACTATTTACATGGGTGAGGTTATCTTTCCTCCACCAGAAAAAAAGTCAGTATGGTCCAGTCAAACCTAGTAACTAGAGCCAAACTGGATGAGTAAAATGGAATTAATAAGTCATACAGTATTTGGGTATGTAGGCAGTCTGGTAAACATGGGAAAATAAAAAATGAGTTTTTCTACCAACTCTTTGAACTCCACTTCCTGACTAGGAAAAAAATTATATTTAATAAACTGACCATCATAACAACAAATGAAGAGCACTGGCTCTCAAAAGGGACTTTATTCCTCAGATCCAAACAATGCCAACCTCCTGATGTGTAATTTTAGATGGTGTAAAGGAGGAAACAAATCAGAGAAGATGGAAAGGAATAAAAGTCCTCTAAAACTTAGAGGAGGAAACAGTATAAAACATATTACATTATTTTTCATAATTTTATTGGATATCTTTTGCCTTCAGTGCCTCAGAAAGGGAATCTGTTGGTTACTACAGAATTTGGCAAGTTACTGGTTGAACCCAATGAGATTTGTATTATTCAGGTAAGCCAGAGAAAAGTTTATCGAATATCATGATTTCTCAAAAACAGACCTTGAGTTCATATAATTATTAATTTAATTATGTTAATAGCTAGGCATTTTCCTCTCCACTTTAGCTGGAGATTTCTCAGTTTGGTTATTCCAGAAACCCTGAATTACACTATTTCTACCCTTCCATCATGTTGGTCATTCTTTGCAACTTTTCTCAGTTGTTTTAGCCCATTATTCTCTGGAAACCTGCTGTTCCTGTCACCTCAGGTTCGTTTTGACTTAAATGCCATTCTGAGTTGCTCAGGGGTTGAGCATCAGGTATCATTGTCTGACTCTGGGTTCAAATTCTGCGAGTCCATTTACCTCAAAAGGTAAGGATCAAAATTCTCTTTCAGAGTTTGTTAAAGAGAGGTAGTTAAAGAGTACTAATTCTTGAATTTGATATAGTGACTTATTGTCAAATCGTCAAAGCATAAGGCCTCCACAGGATTCACTGCATAGTGTGGTGTAATAAATCCTTTGAAATACTTTGAAACATTTTGACCACATGATAAGATGCTATATAAGATGCACAATTATAATTAACATCATGTTCATGTTAATAACACCATTACCCCCAGGCTGTTTATTTTACAAACACGTTTTTTCTCAACCATGTTGCTCTCACAAGCTATTTGTGAACATGATGGCAATTCGAGCTGTTCATTCTTTCACCACTTGTTTTCAACATGAGATAAGTAAGTAAGCAAGCAGAAAAATATCCAGAACATAATAGTGGTAATAATAGTTTCCCTTTTTTACAGCAAGGGATGCATTTCAGTGTGGAGGTTTTTGGGGAGACCAGAGGTTACATCCTGGAGGTCTTTGGAGCCCATTTTGAGTTGCCGGACCTCGGACCCATTGGTAAAAAGTTTAACATTATGCTGTAGAAATATCTGGTCCTTTACAAAAATTGTCTTCATGAACACTGGGATAGGAGGGAATGATTTCAATACACATGCACAGCAGGAATCAAGAGGGTTCAATGTTCCTTGTCTTCAGGAATTTTTGTCCTTTTTTTCTTTGAAGGACATAGATTTATTTCCTAGGGTTTGGTTTTACCAGCACTGCCCTCCCCAGCCACCCCCCGCCCCACCCCCACCCTGCCCCCATCCCAGTACCTTGCTCAAAGGACCATTCGTATATCAGCCTTTCTCGACTATGTTTTTCATGCACATGATCTGACCTTGGGAGGCATCATACCTGAGTCCAATACTGGTTGACACTCACTGTTAGTTTGTGTGCACTCATCAGTAAGAGTGAGAAGCTGGATGAGCTTTTGCTGCAGAAACAGGTGGTCTAAAAGGAGAAATAAAAGGTCAGGTGGATTCTAACATATAGAAAAAAATATAAGATTGCATTTAAAAATATATAATGTTAGTATAGCTGATTGAAATGTTTATATAAGCAAAAAGCAATATTGGAAATATAGTATTTAGTATTCTTTTACATCAAAGGAATACATGATGCTTAATCCTTGGATTCTCTTTGAATTGTACCACCAGGGGCGAATGGCCTAGCAAATCCAAGAGATTTTATGGTTCCTGTTGCATGCTATGAGGACCAGCAGTTTGCAGCTTGCTTCTCTGTCATTAGCAAATACCAGGGCAAGCTCTTTTCAGCTGAACAGGTAAATGAATAACCTATTAATTTAGGCAAACACTGCATTGTTTAATAGGGAGTGGAGGTGGGAATATAGCTAAATTATGTTGAACATTAAGGGCCCAGCAATAATAATAATAATCCTTGCATTTGATATAGCACCTTATCACTTCAAGACATCTCAAAGTGCTTCATAAAGTATACTGTGAAGTGAATTGACTGTATATTTTGTGGGTGAACTGTGGCAGCAATTGCGCACAGCAGTGTCCCACAAACAGTCGTGGATTGAGTGACCAACTTATTTTTTTGGAGGAATTATTGCTGCCGGAAAAGCAATCCACCAATCGACTATCAACCGGTTTCCTACTTACTGCTAAGTAAACAACAACAACAAAATTAGATTTCTATAGCGCTTTTCACATCGGGAGGACCTCCCAAGGTACTGGACAGTTACGGACCCGAGCTGGGGTTCGGGGTGGGGGAGGAGGGAGGGCAGGAGTGGGAAGCAGGAAGATCGAAAGCATGGTCGAAGAGGAGGGTCTTGAAGGTGAGGAGGGAGGGGGCGAGATGGAGGGACTGTGGGATGGAGTTCCAGAGGGTGGGCCAGAGTGGTGGAAGGCCTGCCTGCCAATAGTGGAGCGAGCAAGGTGGGGGACGTGAAGCAGGCCGGAGCACACTGAGCAGAGGGAGCGAACAGGGTGGTAGGGGTTTAGGAGGTCGGAGAGGTAGGGGGGAGCAAGACCATGGAGGGCTTTGAAGGTGAGGACCAGGATCTTGAACTGTATCCTCTGTGTGATGGGAACAGAGGTGTGTGGAGTAAGTAAACTTGCCCAACATTTCGCCTTGCCGGGAATCAAATCCAGGTCTCTCACTTGCGAGGTGAGTGCTCTAACCACTGAGCTACAGGACTCCACAATGATTAAATAACCTGAACATTCACTGACTAGGCTCACATGTAGGCAAGGGGACCTCAAAAACCGTAGCCTAGCATGAATCTAGCAGAATCTCCAGGAGAGAAAACAAGTTATAGAAAAGTTATATATTAACATTTAAGATGAATTGTTACAGCTCATTTTGGCTGATCAGCTGCTTTACAATGTTATTATTGCAGATGGACTGTAATTGGTTGCTAAATGTTCATTAACGCTAACAACATCTCACAAATAAGATTTTGGAATACTGGGCACTCGATCAGTGCATCTTTAATATTTTGCCAACAAATTAGTCAAATGTAGTTTATTCCCAACTTTAACAAAAAGAGCAATATAAGGTCCTTATATCCATCTTCAATGCAGATATGTCTTGGTTTTGCAAGAAATGGTAATTGTTCTTGGATATATAGTACTTTGTACGATTTACCTGTCAAATATCTTTAGCAGTTTGGTGTGCAACACACTTTCTCAGCCTACTCTGTGCTAGCCCAGGAAACAAGTCCAACCTTGGTATTCCCTACATTTCCATCAGTACTGCAAAAACTAACAATGTCAATAGTCCATTAGATAAAATCCCAAATGTCTTAATAACATATATTCTTCTGTTTTCTATCTAACCGCTTAAACTGGCTTGAATACTGTGTTTAGACTGAGACATTTGGGCGTTGAGTAAATGAGAATTTAATTGTGTTATTAGTTTTTCCGGCATCACTGTGAATTGACATTTCCTATGGGTTATAATCTTCATTAGTTATCATTAGATCCTCCTGAGGAATGTCATTTATTTCAGGATTTTTCTCCATTCAATGTTGTGGCCTGGCATGGGAACTACACACCCTACAAGTACAACCTGGATAATTTCATGGTTATTAATGGTGTTGCGTTTGATCACGCGGTGAGTAGTTTTCTTCATTTGTAGTCTTCTCATTTGTTTCTTGCCTACAAAAAATACACATTCAATACATTAACTGTAAAATCCTCTGAAACGCATCATGGTATTACCAAATTTAGGAAGTTAAAACAATCCAATGTGTACTGTTTTTTTTTCCAGGATCCTTCAATTTTCACAGTGCTGACTGCTAAGTCAACTAGCCCTGGTGTGGCTATTGCTGATTTTGTCATCTTTCCACCACGCTGGGGAGTGGCTGACCATACCTTCAGACCACCTTACTACCACAGTAGGAATGACATATTACGAAACAGATCATCGGCCCAACTACAAATATGCCTACACATACACAAATACCAGTTTGCGGACAAATACACAGTCACTGACCTTCACAGAAAAATCGTGATAAGCGTTTTGAAACCTTCCCCCTACATGAAAGGCAGTATATTGAAATGCAGGGATTATTATTGTTAACCCGTCCATGCTGGTTTATATTCTCCACGAGCCTCCACCTCTCCATTGAGATTTTTTCTAAGACATGGCACATTATACAACAATTTATCCTGCTTTTAAACAGTCGAACATGACACTACTAGAAGCTTATGTGTAAGATTGGCTTAATTGGTAGCACTCTCACCTCCAGTTCAGAAGATTGCAGAACCCCACATTAGGGTTTGGGGACTCAGTCTAAACTGACATCCCAATGCAATACTAGGTGACAGCTGCATTGGAAGGACTGTCCTTTGAATATGTTTTTAACTGATGTCCTGTCTGCCTGTTAAGGTGGATGTCAACAATCACATGACATTATATTCCCTAAGGAACTTTGTTCTGGCCAACATTCTTCCTCCAGATAAATTGGTCATTAACTTCATGGCTGTTTGTGGGATCCACTGTGTGCAATTTAGCCTTTTGCCTTCAAATACAGTCATTACAATTGGTAGCAATCTACTACAGTGAAACATTTGGCAACATTAATGTTATACGTTCTATGTTATAAAATTATAAATTTATCAAAGGTGAAAGACAAATTAAGCCTTAGGTGCACGTATACCTAAAATGGTATGGGGTCCTTTTCAACCCTAATTCGCAGCAATATAGTAGGCGGTACAAAGCAGGTTTTTCCACTCCACATCTCCATACCAGCTGGAGTAACGGCACTTTTGTAGCCACCTGTCGGATGCAAATTGACAGGTTTCACTGCACACCATTATAACTGTAGCAAGTTATTATATAAACATTTCTTCAGTCTCCAAGAATACTATCACAGGTTTAAAATTTGCCTAAAGATGTTGATAAGCTTTTTGTAAAAGGGAACTTAATAGACTGTTTACGAGAGATAGATTAAACAATGATTCACAGAAAATAAGTTTAGGTATCATTGTAAGAAATAAAGGAGTTTCAATGTTTTGTTTCCAACCTGCCCAGGGAACTGTATGAGTGAATTTATGGGGCTGATCAAAGGTCATTATGAGGCAAAAGAGGAGAACTTTTTGCCTGGTGGAGGCAGTCTGCACAGTATAATGACTCCGCATGGGCCAGATGCTGACTGTTTTAAGAAGGCAAGCGAAGCAGAGCTCAAACCGGAACGAATAGCAGAAGGAATGATGGTAAATCCTCAGCTTAAAGTGTGGAATATTTGTGGAAGAATGCCTTCTGCATCATTAAACAACCATACCACTTAAGGAAATATTTTGTTCCGATAAAACAGATTTCTGATCAAAACTAGAGTAGTAACCACTTGATAACATGCACATAGGCACTGGTATAAACATGGTAGAAATTATAAAATCTGACCCTGCATTAAGTCGACACTATCCAGATCACACTCCATACCTGCACCAGTGACAATTCTCCCCATCCTAAGGTAAACATCCTGCTGACCAAATGTGACAATTATTATTATTGTCCAGTTAGTAGAATTGCTAAACTTGAACTACAGTCCTAGGGAATTTTTTTAAAAAAAGATAAATTCCACTTGCTTAGCACTATATGTTATAGGTAGTTGCTTAATCCCTCATGTAAGATCATATCCCTCTTCAAGCTATGCCCATGTTTTGAATGGTTTCATTTTTTCCTCCTTTCCTGTCTCCTTTGTTAGGCATTTATGTTTGAGTCCTCATTCAGCATGGCCGTTACCAAATGGGGCTTGGAGACCTGCAACTGTTTGGACAAGAGCTACACAAAGTGTTGGCAACCCCTGAAAAGTTGCTTCAATCCTAAATGGAAGCCAATTGACAAGCAAACCTGGTATGGAAGATATTGCTGAGATATCCAGTACACCCACAAAATACAGTCAATTTACTTTAGTGTATTCTGTGAAGCGCTTGAGACATCTGAACGACTTGAAAAGTTGCTACATCAACAACAACAAAATTACATTTATAGAGCGCCTTTCATGTCAGGAGGATGTCCCAAGGCGCTGAAAAAAGCCAAAATGAAAAAATGCAAGTTTTATCATTATGATGATGCCTCAGGTCATAATCACACATTTCTTACATTCATCCCATTCCTGTATTTCCTCTCATCATATAAATGAACCTAAAGTATAAAAATTCTTGTGTTTTTACATTTCGCTTATTGCCCGGATTGCCAGCCAGTAGTGTCAAGCACTTTGAGACATCCTCCCAATGTGAAAGGTGTATATAAATGGAAATGGTATTGTATACTTCATTCTGGCTTTTTTTTTCTAATTTCAGAGCAGGCCATTAACACTGGAGAGATCACCAAAGCAACATTTCATAACCAGACATGGAATCCGATCTCAATTTTAAAATGCAACATTTTAATTTCCGCTGATGAAAAATATAATTGGCAATTTAAAAAATTCCAGCATGCAATGTTTCATTGAGCTGAATCATTACATTGTATATTGTTATTGTTCAGTCAGGATACACACTGGAATGAATCTTGGAAGCTTTCTGAAAGTAAGTTAAATTGTTGCCAATGTGTTGTCAAATCATCAATAAAGTGGAAGTAATTCTAAATTGGTCAGTAAATCTACATGCATGTCCACTTGTTTGTCCCATATGCATTCTCCAAACTTACAACTATTAGGCACAATTCATTGCAGAATGCCACTGGTCACTGCCAACCCCACCCCTCGAGGGAGATTTTTCCCCTTTTACTTTGTATTCATATTGCTCTTTGCCGCATTGCGATTTTGCTTTTTTTTGCAAAATAATCCAGATTAAAAAATTTAAAAACTGACCGTTGTTAACCAGGTGGATTAAAAATAAGACAGAAAACTATTTTATACACCTCACTTTTTAATCATATTTTAGAATAGAATATTACAAGGACCAAGGAAACTGGAAAAGGTTTACTGACTGCATTTATTAAAGCTTCTACATATAATAATATTCTGTACAATCTTGGTTTAGGATGGTTGTCTCAGCTTTATCCATTCAGTATGTCAGACTAAATGGACGCTCCTTTCCCTCTTTGATAAGTCTCTCTTTGCGATCCTTTAAAGAAAGGGAAGAGAATTGGATGAGTTTTGAAAGCCACAAAAAAGCAAGCCAAGCAAATTGTATCTCAACATACTCAACAACAAATTATATTTGTATAGTGCCTTTCCTGTCAGGAGGCGCTGAACATTTTAATTTCTGATGGTGAAAAATATATAATTAGCAATAAAATAAATATTTCCAACATGCAATGTTCTAATCAATTTCGTCCAGCTATTATCTCTTTAAAATGATGTAATTCGAATCATACCCTGCATGTTATAAAGAATGAGTAGAAACAATACAGCTAAATAGATGAACATTTTCTAGAACAGAATTTCAATTCCACTTCACATTCACTATTATTAAATAAAATCCAAACAAACAATTTAATCTTTAAGTGCATGGATATGCCCACATTCTCCCTGTTTTCCTCAAACCCCACCTAAACATTGATTAATTCTGTTCCATTCCAGGGCCTCCCGATGAGTAAGGGACTATACAAATGTAATTTTGTATTGTATTTGGTTAATTATTCTTACCCGATCAGTTTTGAATACGTAATACCAAAACACCAGGGGGCCAATGCCAAAGACAAAGCCCAACAGTGATGTCTTGGGTGTTGGCCTGAAGTTGGGGTAGATATGGTTCAGACTGCGTGCATATGTCCAACGAAGCAGTGCTGGGTCTTCCTGTCAATTGCAAAGGGAAAGATTAAAGCATAAGAATTTGAGTAAAATATAACATAGAAAATAAAAGCAATTTGAAGAACCAATTTAACTACAGTGTAAAAAAGTTTCAAGTAAATATTCCTGATATTTCAAGGCACTCATCAATTTAGAAATGTAATTGCCAGTCATAACATTTCAACTCAAAAACAGAAGTCGCTGGGAACACTCAGCAGGTCAAAGCAGCATCTATGGAGAAAGGAAAGTGAGTCAACATTTCGGATCCACAGCCCTTCGACATTTCCAGCATCTGCAGTATTTTGCGTTTTGTTTATAACATTTCAACTGTTGCCCTAAGGATCTAAATCAAACGTTTTAGATCATGCGACAGCAAAGGCCATTATTTTACTTTCATTCAGAACCTGAATTGTGAAGCACTGTGTCAGAACATCTCATGTTCAGCATTCTTCAGGGCTCTGTCCTTGGTGCCTTCCTCTTTAATATTACCTTACTACCACCGCTCGGTGATATCATCCACAGGCATGGGATTAACTTCCACCTGTATGCAGATAACACTATCTCCTCTGCTTCCACCCTCGACTCCAGGACCTCTGCTGTCCTGTCAGACATCAAGTCCTAGATGAAAACCAACTTTCTCCTGTTGAATGTCGACAAGACAAGAGGCCCTCTTGCTTGACTCCCATCAGCGCCTCCTCACATCAGGCGCTGTCAGCATCCCTATTCATGGAAGCACTCTCCATCTCACCAGGCCAGTATGGAACCTTGGTGTCCTGTTCGACCCTCAACTGTCCTTTAAAACCCAAATCTGTACCATGACTTATTCTGCCTTCACCCACTTCCGCAACATTGTACACCTCCACCACTCCGTCAGGCCGCCGAGGGTGTCAACCATGCTTTCATCACATCCAGACTCGATTATGCTAACTCCCTGCTCACTGGACTTCCCAACTCTTCCCTCCACAAGCTGTAGATTATTCAGAACTCTGCAGCTCGTGTCCGCTCCCACACCAATCTCTGTGAGGCAATCACACTGATCTTTGCCCAGCTCTACTGGTTCCTCGTCTCTCAAAGAGTCAACCTTAAGATATATTAATAAAATATATATATACACCCATGAAATCCTTGCCTTATCACGTCTTCGAGATGTTTCAAAGCACTTCACAGAATATACTGTAAAGTGAACTGACTGTACATTTTATGGGTGAACGCGGCAGCCAGTTGCGTACAGTGGTGTCCCACAAACAGTCGTGGATTGAGTGACCAAATTATTTAATCATTTATTTATTGAAGGGATTATTACCCACGGAAAAGTGATCTGCCAAGCAACAAACAACCAGGTTCCCACTTCCTGCTTGGTAAACAGAGGTGTGTGGAGCAAGAAAACATGCCCGACGATTCACCCTACCTGGGAATTGAACCCAGGTCTCTCGGTTGCAAGGCGAATACTCTGACCACTAAGCTACAAGACTCCACTTGTCCTCACTTTTAAAGTCCTCCAGGGTCTTGTTCTCCCTTCCCCTGTGACCTGCTAGAATTGACCTGCCTATTCCTTCTGCTCGGAGGACACTGGCCCGCTCCATGTCCCCACCCCATCCCCCCTCCACTATCGGCAGATGGACCTTCAGCCTTTCTGTCCTTGTACTGAAACTCCCAGCACCCTGTCCTCTCTCTCTGGGCCCCAGCACCCTGTCCTCTCTCTCGGAGCCCCAGCACCTTGTCCTCTCTCTCTGAGCCCCAGCACCCTGTCCTCTCTCTCTGAGCCCCAGCACCCTGTCCTCTCTCTCTGAGCCCCAGCACCCTGTCCTCTCTCTCTCTGAGCCCCAGCACCTTGTCCCCCCTCTCTCCCTGAGCCCCAGCACCTTGTCCTCTCTCTCTGAGCCCCAGCACCCTGTCCTCTCTCTGAGCCCCAGCACCTTGTCCTCTCTCTCTGAGCCCCAGCACCTTGTCCTCTCTCTCTGAGCCCCAGCACCTTGTCCTCTCTCTGAGCCCCAGCACCTTGTCCCCCCTCTCTCCCTGAGCCCCAGCACCTTGTCCTCTCTCTGAGCCCCAGCACCTTGTCCTCTCTCTCTGAGCCCCAGCACCCTGTCCTCTCTCTGAGCCCCAGCACCTTGTCCTCTCTCTCTGAGCCCCAGCACCCTGTCCCCCCTCTCTCTCTGAGCCCCAGCACCTTGTCCTCTCTCTCTCTGAGCCCCAGCACCTTGTCCTCTCTCCCTGAGCCCCAGCACCCTGTCCCCCCTCTCTCTCTGAGCCCCAGCACCCTGTCCCCCCTCTCTCTCTGAGCCCCAGCACCTTGTCCTCTCTCTCTCTGAGCCCCAGCACCTTGTCTTCTCTTCCCTGCTCTCCTCACTCAACCTTTCCCTACACATAAACTCCCCCACTCACAGTCACGGCCACCCACTCGATTTGGTGATCACCCGGGGCCTCAGTGTCTCGGATGTCACTATTACCGACAAGGCCATCTCCGACCACTACTTCATCTCCTTCACCACCTCCACCCCCCTCCCCACCTCCACCAGACCCACCACCATCTTCTACCGCCCTTGGAAGAAGTTACCCCCACAATCCCTAACCGATGCCTTGGAGTCCTCTGAACTCCTCTCCCTCTGGCCTTCAACCCTCACCGACCCCTCTTCTCCTCTCTCCCTCCTCCACAATATCCTCTCCTCCACACTCGATACTCTTGCCCCCATCACTTCCCGCACTGTCTCCTACTCCCGCTCCTCCCCCTGGTACACCACCCACCTCCGCTCACTGAAATGCCAGGTGCGGGCTGCTGAGCGCACCTTTGTCAAATCCGGCTTAACGGTCCACCGACAAATCTGGCTGGACCTCCTCAAAATTTACCGCTCCACTCTAGCCTCGGCCAAGTCGTCCTTCTACTCCAGGATAATCCTGGAGGCGAAGAACAACCCCAGGCTACTGTTTTCCACCACATCCCGACTCCTCCGTCCCCCCCGCCACCCCGCGCAGGTCATCTCCTCCAACCTTCACTGCGAGGAGATGCTGGATTTCCTTGAATCCAAGATCAAGGGAATCCGCTCCGCGGTCACTTCCCCTCCAACTTCCACCCACCACCCACCCCTTCCCTCCCACACTCCGACTCCTACCCATCCTCCCCTACACACCTTCGTACCCGTTTCCCCACCCTCTGTCACTGAACTCATCCTATCCCTAAAACCAACCACCTGCTCCCTTGACCCCATCCCCACTCCACTCCTTATCTCCCAGCTCCATTTTCTTGCCCCACACATCACTGACATCATAAACCTGTCCCTCTCCTCTGGCTCTGTCCCCATTCCATTAAAAACTGCCATCATCACGCCCACCCTGAAAAAACCCTCCCTTGATGCGTCGCAGCTATCAAGCTACCGGCCCATCTCCAACCTCCCCTTTCTCTCCAAGGTCTTGGAAAGAGTTGTCGCCTCCCAACTGCGCTCTTTCCTCTCCACCCATTCTCTTTTTGAACCCCTTCAGTCAGGTTTCCGTGCTGCTCATAGCACAGAAACTGCCCTGGTCAAGGTCACCAATGATATCCTGACTATCTGTGACCAGGGCTCCCTCTGTCTCCTCGTCCTCCTCGACCTATCGGCAGCATTCGATACGGTCGACCACGCTATCCTACTCCACCGCTTGTCCTCCCACCTCAACCTTCAAGGCACTGTCCTTGAATGGTTTAGCTCTTACCTTTCCCACCGTCTTCACTTCGTCTCAACGAATGGCTTCTCCTCCACCCCCCGTACTGTCTCATGTGGTGTCCCTCAGGGCTCTGTCCTCGGTCCCCTCCTCTTCACCCTCTATATGCTCCCCCTCGGTGACATCATCCGCAAACATGGGGTTAACTTCCACATGTATGCGGATGACACCCAACTCTACCTTTCCTCCTCTACTCTCAACTCCACGACCACCGATGTCCTGACAGCCTGCCTGTCCGACATCGAGTCCTGGACGAGAGACAACTTTCTTCAGCTCAACGTGCGAAAAACCGAGGCCCTCCTGATTGGCTCACGTCAGCGCCTCCGCACCTCAGGCGCTGACACCATCAGCATCCAAGGCTGCACTCTCCACCTCTCAAAGCCAGTCAGGAACCTCGGCGTTTTGTTCGACCCTGAGCTGTCCTTTCTCCCTCACATCCGCACCACAACTGGCACCGCCTTCCATCACCTCCGGAATATCGCCAGATTACGGCACTACCTCACCCCTCACGCTGCTGAAACCCTGGTTCACGCCTTTGTCACCTCAAGGCTGGACTATGGGAACTCTCTCCTCGCCGGCCTTCCCGCCACCTCCCTCCACAAGCTGCAGGTCATTCAGAACTCTGCAGCTCGTGTACTGTCCCGCACCAGGCTTCGGGACCACATCACTCCCACCCTCGCTCGCCTCCACTGGCTCCCCATCCCCCAGAGGATTGATTTCAAGATCCTCATCCTCACCTACAAGGCCATTCACGGCCTTGCTCCCTCCTACCTCTCCAACCTACTATCCCCCTACCTACCTGCCCGTACCCTCCGTTCCTCTGGCTCCGGTCTGCTCCACGTCCCCCGCCCCAACCGCCCTACTATCGGTGGTCGGGCCTTCAGCCTCTCAGCCCCGAGGCTCTGGAACTCCATCCCCCAGTGCCTTCGCCTTGCTTCCTCCCTTTCCTCCTTCAAGGCCGGTCTCAAAACCTTTCTCTTTGACCGTGCCTTCAGCTCCCCTCTCGACTCTCTTCCTCCTCCTCGCTCCCTCACTTCCCTCCCCTCACCCTGACCATTTCCCCCCTCCTCTCTCCCTCCCTTCCCTCCCCTCACCCTGACCATTTCCCCCCTGCTCGGGTCATGACCCAACTGTGCAGCGCCTTGGGACGTCCTCCTGACGTGAAAGGCGCTTTATAAATGGAATCTTGTTGTTGTTGTTCTCTCTCTCTGAGCCCCAGCACCCTGTCCTCTCTCTCTGAGCCCCAGCACCCTGTCCTCTCTCTCTGAGCCCCAGCACCCTGTCCTCTCTCTCTCTCTCTCTCTCAGCCCTCACCCCCGGCGCGCGGCCCTGTGACCTTGCCGCCGCCGCCCCCCCACCCCACACCCCCGGCCTCTCCGCTCACCACGAGGTGCGTCCGCCGCGGGTCGTTGAGCTGCCTCAGGTACTGGAGCTTGAGGCGGGCCCGGATGGCCTCTCGCTCCGCCTGGGCCCGGCGCACGTCCGGGGTCAACTCCAGGTACTCGGCGGCCTCCAGGGTCTGAGGCCGCGACGCGAGCGGCGCCTCCCGGTACTCGGCCATGGCTGCCCCCCCTCGCCCCGCCCCGCCCCCAATACGTCACGCTGCGTCACCACCCGCGCAGGCGCAGCCGACCTGCCTCCCCCAACGCAATCCAGTGCGCACGCGCAGAGCCCCCCGCAACAACAACCCCCCCCCCCCGCAACCAACCGCCACCACACGCAGAGCAGCAGCTTTTGTTGTTGTTGTTGTTGTTGTTGTTATCTTTTTTTTTAGACCGCAATCACAGTGAAAACTCCTGATGACTCGACCCCCGCCTTCACCCGTCACCTCCGCCCGCGGCCGCCCCCTCCCCCTCCCCCTCATCCGCGATAACGGTCCCCGCGCTTCAAGGCCGAGCAGCGCCTGCGAGCGCCCGACATCCCCCCCCCCCCCCCCGCGGAGACGCGGAGCTGCGTCGGGGTGCGCCCCCGCTCCATCCGTGCGCTCGGCGTCGCCGCGGAGCGAAACGCTTAACGCGGGACAAGCGGATCGGCCGCGTACTTTGTCTCGGCTCGAATGAGGCCGCCGGGTGTCCCACAAACAGCCGTTGAGTGAGCGACCCACTTTTTGTGGGGGGGGGGGGGGGCGTTGGATGGCCAGGACCCCGGGAGAAGCTCCTTTCTCTTTTCGAACGGCGCCATCGGGATCTTTAACGCCTGCCCGAACAGGCGGATCGGACCTCGGTTTAAAGTCTCATCTGAAGGACGGCACTTCTTTTTGCGTTTGCCCACAAATATAGTCAATTCACTTTACAGTGTGTTCTGTGAAGCGCTTTGGGACGTCCTCCCGACGTGAAAAGCGCTATATCAAATGCAAGGATTATTATTATTATTATTATTATTATTATTCTGTCAATGCAACACAACCCCAGCGCTGCATTGGAGCGTCAGTTTAGACTAATTCCAAGTCTTGATGTGGGGCTTGAAATCGCAACCTTCTGACTCGGGCTGACGTACACGTCAGGGCGAAACCTTGGGCAGGTTTCCTTACGCCACACACCTAATAATAATCCCTCCGAAACAAAACAGTAATAAGTTGGTCATTTTCAATCCGCGACTTTGTGGGACACTGCTGTGCGCAATTGGCCGTCGCGTTTCGCCCACAAATATACGGTCAATTCACTTTACAGTATATTCTGTGAAGCGCGTTGAGACGTCGAGAAGACGTGTAAAGCGCTACATCAAATGCAAGGATTGCTATTATTATTATTATGCCTAACTCGCATACTCTGGATACTCCTCGGTATGGTGATGAGTTTCCACGTGACAAACACCAGGCTGACCAAAACTCAGCAGCAACTGGGTGTCTGAGTTCAGCTCCTGTGAACAGCGGCTAAGTTTCATACATGCAATTTTTTTTTTGGTAAGCAGATGTTTGACACACACAGAATGCCCTCATTATGCTTAAGGGTACCCAAATGGAACTGCATTTCGATATAGTGTTAAGTGTAATATATCAAATGCACTTCTCACTCCCCCTACTGTTTGGAGACATGATTGTTAAGTATTCCGTTAATCCATTTACCATGAATGATGTTGCAAAATTGCTCAGATTGCAGGCGTAAAATCGCAGAGCTTCTGGGCAATTTGGAGATTCCAGTACTTCTTTTAACCTCTTACTTCAGTAAAAATGGTGATGCTTTTCCCATTCCTATATTGTACTTGATTCTGAAATACATATCTAATAGTCGATAGGGAAATGGTATTTGGCAACAGAGTGTGAGAAAAATTTGATCTTCTTTCCCTTTGCACCTGAACTCCCTTTGCTGTTCAAGTTCAGTCCTTGTCTGGGTACGTACCTCTAACTCAGGGAATGGGTTACAGCCGGTCTATAAGTTTTTATTTCTAATTATAAACTGAAAAGCTGGATGTAAATATTACTTATTATTTGGCAAATTAACTTCACAGTTGCTTTCTTTGAGTGGTGTTTAAAATATTAAAACAGTTTAAAACAGTCACTACACTTTAGTACTTTTGGTGAAGCGCTTTGAGACTTCCTTCCAATGTAAAAAGGCACCTATATCAAATTGCAAGGATTATTATTATTATTATCTATTGTTATTAACCATAGGAGCCTGGCCGTTTCATTGCCCTGGTCAGTTGTGTTTCTTGCGCTGTTATCAGATTCTTTAGATCCCCACACCAATCTCATACAGCACTTATTTCTTCTCAGCAACCAATTTCAAATGTACCCCCAGCCCCCTCTGAGCTCTGTTCTTCAAACATTCAAAACATTACTGGTGCTTACATGAGGGTGAAAGGAATTAAAGGAGTATGGGGAGAGGCTCATGTGGAGTATAAACACCGAAATAGACCAAATATTGGGCAAAATAGCAATGGTACATGCTGTAACACACTGTGGACGCTAGGAGACAGCTACGGGGTATTACATGACCCAGGAAAGTCTTCAGTTACATATATTGTACTGACACAGGTTTTCTGCCAGTACGCTGTGGGTATCACTTATGCTCTTGCATGTTTACTATTATACTACAGTATGTGCTCACCCTCATGTTACAATGTGACACATATTGGCCTGATAGAACTACAGCGGCTAACTCCACATGTGAAAATGCTCCAGTTTTCTAAAGAGCCTGTAGGACGACTGATTCTGTACTCAATTGGTCAATGTATTCAAGTCCCAGAGAAAGTTAAAACACAATAACTAATTAATATTAACGCAGTTTAAATAATATTTTATTGCTCTAAATTTACATACATCGTGTTATTTAATAGTAGTAAGTTACATTGAGAAAAAAGGGAGGGACAATTTGTTAAAAAAAAAGCTAACTAGGAGAAGTAACTAGGAGAAACATCTTTGGACGTAGGAATGAAGTCACATTGGAAAATCATGCCTTTTCAACATCACAAGCATTAAGATATCTTACAGAGGAGCCATCGTTAAGATGTGCCTAATTGGCTGCCACTTTGCACCCACAAAATATACGGTGAATTCACTTTTCAGTATATTCTCTGAAGCGCTTTGAGACGTCTCGAAGATGTGATAAGGAGCTATATCAAATGCAAGGATTATTATTATTATTACTACTGACAAACTGGACTGACGTCTGCAGAATCTAGTTCAATGCTAAATTGAAGAATGTTCTGTAGCAACTTTTCACTAACCATGACGACAGTGAAGTAAACCATAACAGTATGGTACATGTTCCCTGCAGGATCTGCACGTTGCATGTCATAGATGTTTTGAACACAAACTAACATCCTTGTTTATGCTGAAGGAAATCAAGAGGGAAGAAAATCTTAAAACCGCTCCATTTGTTCAGTGGACGTTAGTTTGGGTGCCAAAATCAAACTATAATGTTCTTACTCTTAATTACTAAGGACGTGACCTGCAGGTAGTGGCCCATAACCTCAGGAATTTTCTCTCTCTACTCCTCCATCTTGCCCTCTCTCTAACCTTCTTTAAATCCAGGTTTATAACCTACCTCTTCAACTGTCACCACACCCTTACCCTCTTTCCCTTGCTTGATGTCCAACACTGCCATTGTAAAACGCTCTGAGACATTATCCTACATGAAAGGCACAACATCAATGCAAGTTGTTGTAAATCGGCAATATTATAGATTAAATCGGATTTGGGTTGGGTCTCTAATGAGTCATGCCTGTGTATGCCCTCCTCTCCATCATATTGTTCCTGAAGTATTTTTTATGATATTCCTCTTATTTCTTAATTTCTTCCATTAACATCTCCTAAAGATCTAATTTTGGATTTATTTATATTGTCTCTGCTCTCAAAGGTTGAATGGCACTACATTCCAGAAGTTGCAATATATCTACGCACACACACACATACACGAGCATCAAAGAGCACGGAAACAGGATGAGAGTAGATAGCCTGACATGGACATAATGGGCCAAATGACCTCTTTCAATGTTGCAGTTTCCATGATTCTATATTACCCAAATGTTGGTAAGCTCCACTGCCCTCGATTGAATCAGCCACAAAATAATCCTTGCATTTGATATAGCGCTTTTCACGTCGGGAGGACGTCCCAAAGCGCTTCACAGAACACACTGTAAAGTGAATTGACTGTATATTAATAATCCTTGCATTTGATATAGCGCTTTTCACGTCGGGAGGACGTCCCAAAGCGCTTCACAGAACACACTGTAAAGTGAATTGACTGTATATTAAGAGAAGCTAACACAACAAATGTCAACAATCAGTCAAGCTGAATTTGATACTTCGCATGAGACATTAAACCGAGGTCCCTTCTACCTGTTCAGGTCGATGTTAAAAATTCTATTTATAAAATAGAAAGCAGCTTTCCCCGGGTATGCTGGCCAACAATCCTCTAGATATATTGCTAACTCATTTCACACCAATTGCCTGTGAAGTGTTTTGAGACATCTTGATATTTTAGGTGCTATATCAAATGCTAGGATTTTTATTACTATTACTACACATGGAATATATCCACATGCCTTTCTTTATACATTTGATTACACAATTCACACAATAGACTGAATCATCTCACAGCAGAAGGGCTGGCAACCAGTACAAAGTGTAATGTACAAACATAGGTAAGTCGGAGGCAAAACTTGGTACAGCTATGCATAATCTGTCATATGTGACCGCATCTTCTTCAAAGTATACCAAACAACAATGTATGCAACGTCTGAGCTGTAACGCACAACAAACTGCCTCTTGCGAAATTGTGAGTGCTGACAGGTCATGACAAAAGATTATAATAAATCTCAGGCCTCAGAGTTTCAGCGCAGAATTGTTCTAACTTCAGTCCAACTCTGAAATACACAGTTTCATCCCACCATTTACTCATAATCTAGGAGGGAAAAAAAGAAACATTGCAACTGCCTAAAATATGCAAAATGACAACATTTATGTTTTACTTAAAAAAAATGTTTTGAGGAAATCTTCCTTTTGTCGATGTGACTAGCACAAATCAGAAGCAGTTAGCTCTGAGGAATTTCTTTTAGGCTTCAACCTTCTCAGAATCGGAGTGAGCCAGTTTATGGGGAGGCCTTGGGCATTGTACCCCATAGGAACCACAAGAAAGGGCACACCT